GATATTATCAGTGTTGAAGCTCATGTAAAGCTGCGTGTCATCTGCGTAAAAATGAGCTGTAAAATGTTTGATGGAAAGATGAATTTGAGACGTATATAAAGAGAAAAGAAGGGGACCAAGAATGGAACCTTGAGCAACCCCGTTAACTAATAGTTTTTTAGAGGAAAATAAATTACCTACTAATACTCTCTGCGACCGATGGCTTAAATAACTTTTTATAAATGAGGAAGCTTTTAAACAAAAACCAATGTGGTGCAAGAGAGATACAAGTAGAAGATGATGCACCCTCTCAAAAGCTTTACTATAGTCAATTAAAACTAATGCACATAACTTATTATCATCTATGGCTTGATAAATATCATCAGTTATGTTAGCCAGAGCGGTGGAGCAACTGTAACCTTGACGAAACCCGGATTGATTTGCTGAGATAATGTTATTTAGATTGGTAAACTTTCGAATTTGTTTATCTATAATTTTTTTCAACCCTTTAGAAAGTATGCACAAAATACTAATATGTCGAAGATCTGTAAACTCAACAGGATTATCTTTTTTCGGTAAAGGAATTACAATGGCTTCTTTCCAGATGTTTGGAAATGAGCTATGCCTTAGAAAAAATTATAAATATGTGTAATCACTGGCACAATGAGTGGACAACAATGTAATATTATTTTGATATTTATTAGATCTACTCCAGTAGCATTAGATTTGATGGACAAAAGTAATTTGTACACCTCTAATTCGTTTACCAACTCGAATGAGAATGGGGAGATGGAGTTATTTAGGTTATTTTTAAAAAAGAATTCACAAACATCACTATTGTTTACATTACTATCAGAGGTTGAAGCTGAAATAAAGTAATCATTGATAGTGTCAGGTGAACATAAGTGACTAGGTAATTCAGTAGTTTCTTTTATATTAAAACTTACATTTTTTAACTCGTGCCACATGTTGCGTTTATTATTCAATTGAAACTCAAGATAAGCCCTTTTTTCCCGTTTAATAGCATGATTAACTTCGTTTCTAAGATCTTGATAGTATTTCCGGGAATATACCTCTTGGTCGCCGCGGTCAGTTTTACCCAAATTTAATCCTTTCGCTATTCGAAAGGTATAGGCCACTTGGTCTCCAAACCTGGATTAAGGGTTCCAAGAAAATTATGGGGTTATTATTAATTATAATATCGGTTTGTGACCTGTCGAGAACTAAAATAAAAATATTTTTCATCAGTTAATTGTCTACATTCTTACTAGAGGTGTGTCGTTCGCGAACGATTCGTTCAAAAAGAACGAATCAGTGCACTGACTCGAATGAATTGATTCCCTGTTTTTAAAAGATTCGAATCTTTTTTGAGTCAATTGCTCGATGGCTCTGCGATCGATCAAACACGCCGAGTTCCGAGTTTGGTTGCTTCGTTCATTCGATTCGGATTCGGTATTTGGTATTTTACATCGGCATCGGCAAATTGGTCGCTTTTGTTCTACGTTCTACGGCATAATACGAGAACTCTAACTGACAGGCGGTGGCGGTATGTGTCTTTTATGTTTTTCTCACTTTACAGGAGGTGTGTATTAAGCTTAGGTAAACAATTTATGCGTGTTGTCTGATAAATAAATTTAAATCAAAGTAAAATTAAAACAAAAAATGACGAATCGTGAATATATAATTTTGCGTTAATTTTGGCTATATATTTGGCATTTAAAAAAAATTGTGTTATTGTTGTTTATCTTAACGGACAAGGATGTATTTATTATTCAGCTGCCTTTTTTTTAATGAAATATGAAACATTAATTTGCTTTACTTTAAAATAAATCTGGTTATAATTATTTTACTCAACGACCTAGTAGGTAGGTAGGTAGGTAGGTTAGGTAGTACTCAAATTCGTAAAAGTTCGGTTCGATTTCCTTCGCCGGATCGGCGGAATAACATCGTTCGTGGTTCGCTAAAGTGAATCACTTGAGAACGAATCTTGAAGAACGAATCTTTTTAGGTGAATGAATCAAATGAATTAATTCAGTAAAAAGATTCGAACTTCCCACCTCTAATTCTTACTGAAAAGATTAATTTTTTTATTTTAAAAGTGATTCTCATCTTATTCATTATTCTATAAAAGAAGTTTTGAGTTTGTGTTGCAATGGAGTCGATGTTAAGTGTAAAAGGAAAAAAGTTGTTAATTGTAAAAAAATATACATTTGGAAAAGACAAGGAAACAAAGTTAGGTGTATCATATAAGTGTACTCGTCGTGGGTGTAAAGCGACTATTGGAGTGGACGATTCGGAAACTGTCTTATTGAAATCTAAGAGTGAACACAATCATCCACCATCGGACCATTTAGATGTAAAAAAACTTCAAAACGGATTGAAAAGAAAGGCAACAGAAGATATTTGCGTTAAACCCAGTAAGTTAATTAATAACGGAATCCGAGGGGAAGGAAATACTTTTAATGTATCCACTACGGATGTTGACCTCATCAGACGAAGCATATACAGGGCAAGAAGAAGTATATTGCCACCTTTGCCAAAGTATATCAGTGATGTTCATAGTGTACTGAAAGCAATACAATGTGTTACAAATAAGGGTGAACAATTTTTATTATTTAACAATGAAGATTCACAAATTATTTTATTTTCATGTGATTCAAATTTAAAATACTTGTGTTCTCGTGATAGTATTTATTGCGACGGCACATTTAATTATTGCCCTAATTTTTTTTTACAATTTTTCACTATACATGCTGTTGATAACGGACACTACATACCATTGGCATTTTTTGTTTTACCAGATAAAAGAGCAAGTACCTATGCAACTGCATTTAAATTATTAAAAGATTACTGTTATAATAATTTAAATTTAGATTGGAAGCTGTGTAAAGTTATTTGCGATTTTGAGAAAGCCATACACACTGGTATTATACAGATTTGGCCTGATATCTTAATTATTGGATGTAGATTTCATTTAACCTAATCGTGGTTACGTAAGATACAAAATCTGGGTTTGATTTCCGAATATAAAAATGAAAATTCTGAAATCGGCAAATGGCTTCATTACACTTTCGGCATTTTATTTTTGGAAAGTACTGAAGTGGCAGAGTGTTTTTGTAAAGATTTAATTCCAATAATGCCATTTGACGAGAGATTAACTTCATATACTCTTTATATGATTAATACGTATACTAGCGGTACGTCTGACTTCCCGTCTACAATGTGGGCATCGTGCACAAGTTCCACAGAACGCACAACAAATGCTTGTGAGTCTTTCCACAAACATTTTAATTCTGCTTTTTATTCGGCGCATCCCGATATATTCAAATTTGTTAATGTAATTCTCGATATTCAGTTAAATACTTATGTGAAATTAAACAGTACACATATACCTAACAAAATTAAAAACGCTAATTACAAAAAACGGCATGCGTATTTAACGAACGTAATAGAACAATATAAAAATAAGATCCTTTCACGAACTCAATTTATCAAAGTAGTTTCTTATCATTACAAAAACTAATTGCAATTTGGGTTTCTTAAATAATTTTTATTTGGTATTTTGTGTATTTTGTACCTACTTTTTTTTATTATGTATAATTTTATATTGTTTTCTATTAATTATAAGTGTTTTTTTAATTTAGTTTTATTCTTTTCCTGACCCACATTCTGTACCATATCATATCAGTTAAAAATTTCTATTCACGTGGAAAATAATAAAAATCAGTTAAACTATTTTTTTCTTAAAAATATTATTTTCAATAAATCGAAATAGATACCTTTAATGATTGATAACTACGGCGACCAAGAGGCCTACCTGATTTTAAAACTGGAGACCAAGTGGTCGATGAGATTACGGAACCCCGCTGACAAAACTAACCGCGGCGACCAAGTGGCCAACACCCGTATTTCCAATCACCGTTGGTTTTAGAGATTTTAAATTTTTTATGAGCATTGTCTGGTAACCTCATCATCATTTTAAGGGTATCTGTTAGCCAAGGAGCTTTCTTACGAGTGACTCTTATTGTTCTGATGGGAGCATGTAAATTAAAGAAAGAATAATTTTATTGAATAAATTGGCTTTTTCATGTATGTCCTGATTTAAATAAACGGCTGAAAAATCTAAATTTAAAAGGTCAAATTCAAATGGGTTACGGTTCAGTTTACTGAAATCGCGAAAAGTCATATATTTGGGAGGGATTTTAGTTTGAAATTTCGGAAAAGTGCATTTTGCAAAACAATGATCAGAAATATGACAATTAATAATTGCATGTATATCATTTGATTTTAGATTTTGAGAAGTCACGATAATATCAAGCAATTTAGATTTTCTAGTGGGTTCATTCATTATTTGTTTAAGAGAGTAAGATTCTAGAATATCATAACATTTATTAACTGATGTTAATTGAAAGTTTAAGGAGTCGATATTTATATCTCCTCCACATATTACATAATCAAACCTAGCCACAATTTCGCTCAAAGTGTTATCAAATTGTTCGATGAAGTATGTTTCAAGGCAAGTTTGAGGCCTATAAAAAGAGCAAACCGCAATGGTTAATTTACCTACAGTTATAGCAACCCACATCTGTTCCAAATCCTTACCAGCAACATGGTTAATAATTTTATATTTAAATTGGCTTCTAAAATATATAGCTACACCTCCCCCTCTATCATAATCTATCTTTACGTATAAGTTTATATTTTGGAAGTTCAACGGTGGCATTGGTAATTGCAGGTGTCAACCAAGTTTCTGAGACAGTTATTATATCAAATTTTTCATAGAAAATATCATTGAAGCTGTTAAAATCAGAAGTTAAAGATCTAGCATTAATATGACCAAATTTTAGTGACATTGCGTACTAAATTTATTAGAGTAATTTTTATTGAATGATAAAAGTAAAATTTAAAATTAAAATTATAAAACTTATCGTTCACAAACATAGAAAGCGGTTAAATTTAAAATACATGGAATAAGGAATAAATACAACTAAGTCTCCTTTTTTGTCTTAATAGTTAGAATTTCACGGAACTCTCTTGGAAGGCACTTCTAAGGTCCTATCTGACACTGATTCCTTTCTTTTTTGTCCCGTAGATAAGTTTCGGTAAACAGATTGTATTCTATTTAATTTCAAGATCCTTTCTAGAAAAGTTGGATGTTCTGTATCTTCCTTTGAATAACTCGTGCCATTTATAACCAGTTTATTACTTCGTATTTTTCCAATTACCTTATTTTCTCTTAATTTCTTTAAACAATTGTATAATACTTTTCTATTTTTATAATCTTCTTGAGTATAATCTCTTGATATAATCACCCCAGATCCTTTCAATGCAGAGGAATTTTCAAAAATTGCAGACAGTTGTTTTTGATAAATAAATTCGATAAGTAGTGGCCTAGGTTTATCTTGATCTTCGTTTTTTTTACCAATTCTATAAAAATCTCTAATATCGTGAAACTTTGTATCAACTTCACATTTAGAGTTTATAAGTTCTATAAATTTTTGTATTCCAGTTACTTCATCATCAACTTCTTCTCTTAAACCATAAACAATTATGTTATATTTTTTAATTTTTCTTTTCAAATTTAGAACATGTGATTGTAATGTATTTACCTCGTCTTGGAGCTTGATATTGGTATTTTTTATGTCCACTATTTCCTGATTTAATGTTTTTTTTAAATCCGAGATTTCTTCTTTTAATTCATTATTTTGCTTTTTTATAGTTTCGTTTACATCTAATACACTCTGAATTAATTTGTATAAATCTTTATTTGTAACATCATTATTTTCTTTTTCCATAACAAATTTAAATATTCTTATTTTAATGTGAGCAATTGATAATGTTCCGTATCGATTTCAATACGGATTTTATTTAAACAAAAACTAATTTTACCTCGATAAAAATGCAAACAGTTTAGAAACTGACGTTTTCAATTTAAATTGTTAGCTATATTTTGGCATAAAAATTAAAATTTTCTTCTTACTTTGGTAGGTACAACCCTTATATATCTTCTCACAAAAAATCACTATTTAATTTGAACTTTTTACCGGTGTTTATGCTTTTATCCTTAAAATTTAGTAGAAACCTTAAATCATAAGCTAGTTAGATTTAGTATGTTTTAAGTTCAATATTACAGTTACCTTCAGTACATATGAACGTTACAACGTTGGAAATAAAAAAACTAAAGGCAAAATTGGTGGAGGGTTCATTACTTTTAGTAGGTGAGTATATATGCATTCGCATTAGGACAACAATTTTGTAATACGTATAAATATCGTCATAGATTCTCACTACGTGATTATTTTAAATTTTTGTTTCTCATTTGGTTTATTTGTGCCGTGAACACCCAATTACATTTTATAAAAATACTGTTTTAAAATAAATAACAAAAATATAAATTCAATTTAAATAATTTTGTTTTCATACGTGTTAATCTCTATTTTTTTATACGCCACTGCGTTCTGGCTAAACGCGTCTCTGTGGTTTACTATTATAAGTAAGCGCGAGAAAGCGAGAGGTTTTTACGAATGCCTGTAGCTAAAAAGACAGGTCAACACGTCAACAGATCCATGAAACAAAAAATATACCAGATACCTGCTTTAAATCACTTAAATCACGTTATTTTGTTCATCGCACAAAATCAAGGCGTGTAACTTCACAAAGTAGGGCCAGGCATACGAATCTTTCCAGTCATAGATATAGAATAAGAAGGAGATGCAATTACGATACGAAAAGTGTTTGGACGTTTGCATTACACTTTTGCATCATATGTCAAACTCGAGCTAGTGAAGCTAGTTTGTTTAGAGAAAATAATTGCCATTTTTTTTAAATGGCGTGATTTAAATGATATAAAAACATTTTCATTTCATAAATCTTTAAATATAAAATTATTAACATAAAATTAGTCAAAATATGGCTTAAAGTGCGTCCACTTGGCATATCGCAAAATAGGGTTTATGTCGTTTTTACTTCATTCTATCTCGATGTTTCCAATCAAGCTGTCAAACTCTAAAAATCCCTATGAGACAATTTTATTTGTGGATTATATTTATTAAAAATTAAGTTTATATAAAACTTATACTTTAACAAATCGGGTATATGTGTCAGTTTAACGATTGTTACCGAAAAATGTCTCAGGTAAGACATTTACTATTATATTACATTTTGGTGGGTGAGGTTTTCCGGGTTTTCCTCACCTGTAAGTCAAATGGCACCATCAATCATCCTTAAGTCGCCCCGGAGCGCCACGGCAAATAATAATAATAATAATAATAGCCGTCCCTTCCCCTACACAAGTCGTTCAGTCGACTTCAGGGGTTGAAATTCACTCGTAAGAGAGTGAATTAGGGAGAGTATTATTATTATTATTAATATTATATTTGAGAATATCTTATTTGTTTATTCCCAAATGTAATTTATAGTTTTTTTCTTGTGCCAGTGTCTACAGAATAGTCATGTGTTTTATACCCAACTATGCATTAAGCAAACATTTTGTAATTTTTTTTCCAACAAAAGACAAACGAAGTTTTACAAACAGAAAACTGTATTTTAACAATTTTATTAAAACAAGCATAATTTTTTGACCGTAGTACAATTTTATATAAATAATTGTTTTATTTTGTAAGTTGTCCCTAATGAATTTAAAGATATAAAAAATAAATATTGCATTGGCCTAAATTAATTTAAGAAACTAAATAGTTATGTCTATGTTAGGCAAGTTTCTATATAATGAAGACTAAATTAAATACATACCGATATCTATCTGCGAGTAAAACTGAACTACGTCGACATAGTGCAGTTTCATAAAAATTGAACACTCATTTAAATTACCACGAGCCGTCACTGATGTTAATTAAACATATAAGTCTACCATGACACTATCCATATTATTATACAAAGTTGGCAATGTTTAACATTCATAGCCACTCTGGATTAAAAAGAATCAGAACGGCATATACGTTCATCAATTTTCACAGGTTACCATGACGACATCTCCTAGATATTACGATTTCCTAGCCTTACTTCAATTCTTCTCTATAGTATCTATATTGAAGTTTGTTCGTCGTCTTGAAATGACCGTTCATATCGGAAATTACTAGCCGTTAAACATGACAGCAGCTCACTTGAAATTTCGTCGTTATTGCGCGTTGTTATGGCAACAATGACTGCGTTCGAAAGGCTGCTGAGATATGGAATTGGAAATTTATTTAGTGAACGTTGTTGATACTCGACTGAGTTTATGCTATTCCTACAAACTAATAATATAGAATACAAGGAGGATGAATAGAACTCTAGAGAAAAGACCAATTTAAAATTTTAATTTTAACTTGGATGCTACAGAATTCACATTCAAGAAGGAAGAGCTTAATTGAAAATAAGGACGATTCGTAATCAGTGACCTATAAAAAGAATTAAAATGAAACTGAAATAAAACCTACGTTTACAACTATCTTACCATAAATTGCATATAGGTACATAGAGTATGATACAAATGTGACGAATAAATTTAATATTTCGAAATATTTTATTGATTTTAAATTCTCATTTTCCATTTCATGACATATTTAATAAAAAGTTTTTATTCCCAGTATCAGCGTGAAGATACAATTTTTTTTTTTTTTTATAGAAATCAAATTTTTTTTATAACTAAATGAAGAAAATGGTTTACAACTTCACTAGATGAGGCTAATTAATATGTATATGTATCATCCAAAAAAAAAAGCTCCCAGCTACGACGTTATAACTGAACAAATTCTTAAGAGCTACCTAAAAAAGCATTGGGTAAACTCACTTATCGTTGATTAAAATATGTACCAGATACCTGACAAGTAGACGAAATAATAATGCTTGCCAAACATGGTAGAGCATCATCGCTATTATCAATTTACTGTGTTATGTGAACCATTGGAGAAACTATGGATGAAGTGACTAACTTTTTATAATAAAAACAAAACAAATCTTACTAATCAGTTTGGGTTTGGATATAAGAATTTTTAAGGCATCAAATTCACTGCATATCAGGCATGATTGAAAAATCTTACGAAGAGAAACTATATTTTTGGATGAAAATAAGGCCAGATCTGCAGTGGGATTCTCATCGTTCGTACTCGGCACGTGTTGTAACGAGAAGGATTTTGCGATTCCTATCTGGGATATCGAGAAGGGATATATATCGATCTTAAATATTAGTTGCACTCGCTTCATCTTTAGGTGCCGAGAATCGGTTTTTAACTAGAAATCTTGTAATTTTGTGTCAATAATTATTTAATTTTCGTTTTTATAAAATAATATCGAGTAGGAAAAAATTTTTCCTCCCAAGAAGTGATAATGATTTACATTTATTATTAAAATTATTTATTAGTGTTGCCAAAAATATGAAAAGGAAATTATTATTATTACACAGAAAAGCTTCAAGCAACAGCTAAATTATCTTAAGGTTTGTATTTATACACTTTATTAAAATGAAAATGTTTTATTGTAATTTATTAGACTTCAATTATCTACCATTGTAGTAACGATGTTTTTTTCTTTTTTAGATAGGTACCAGTTGATTTTGATAACTGTTCATTTTTTAAATGATGGATAAACCTTTACATATAAGTGGGTAGTACCACACAAATGTCTGCAAAGTTCTTGTTATTCACCACACAAGAGCCAGCTCACTGATTCTAAAAAGTCTTCTAAAAAGTTGACTGGAAAATAACTTACTTAAGGCATTTTTATCTCTCTTTAATAAAAATACACCGGATCTTCAAGATGCAGTAGCAATTTGTGACATTGCCTCCTTCAGGAAATTTAAAATGGGCCTACTATAAGTTCGAAGGTGTATAACCTAAAACCCTTCTTCGGAACCTCCTGAAAGTTTTGAAGATAGTCAAGTTTTGTCTGAATCAGAAGAAACATCTTTAATATTTGATTCAGAGGGATATTCAAGACCATTGAACTCTCAGAATAATTGAAAATAAAGTGAAGGTATATTTAGGATTGCCCAACAGTGTTTTTAAAATCCTCAATCATAGTTATGAGAAGGAAAGTGTAGCTTACATAAACCTTTTACATTTCTGTGTGAATTAAAAGGACTCATTTTGTAAGACTAAATACCGCGCTAAATACTTAATGAACGGTTTGTTTTTTAAATTAATTTATCACATTATTTCAGGGCTTATAATATATGTATACAAACAAAAATGTAAAATCTGTGAAAATTATATTTACCTATTATTAAAAAATAAAAGTACCTGAATTTACAAATAATAAAAAATATATACAAGCCCTAACAATAATGTAGTTGACAAATTAAACGTTTCTCTAAAGATTCATTATCAAATTTAACTTGTTATCTACCTCAGCATTATTTACTTCAAATGTGGGAGAAATAGTGCAAAATACTTTGTTCATGTGTAATTATTCCGTTTACTGTGCAAATATCTCTTTTTCTCAAGTTGTTCATGGAAAATTGAATTATCTCCATATACTTGCTTGGCAGACCTAAAATTAATAAAATATTTAATAAAGTGATGATTTTTTAGTCTTTTCAAGAGAACATTTTTATGGATTCCTATTTTTTCAATATTTATTACTTTTCTATGTTCCAAATTATTTCATAAAATATTAACATATTTGTGTTTTTATTATTCCAATTTAGCAATATTATTGTAGAGAGTCATAAGAATGTTCCTTAACAACTGGCAGTTTTAAAGGAGAGTTTTTTTTTTATTTGAGATGTGGCAGCTGAAACAAAAAAAAATTAAATAGAAACATTAAATGAAAAATATACCTAGGTATCACCTTTATAAGT